TGTGTGTGAAATAGAAAAAGAAAATTCTTCTTTTTCTTTTCTTCTCTTGTCTTAGATAAAAAAAAAGAGTTTAACAAAACATAGGAATGCCTTCTTTATGACATACTTACGTTGGGAAAACGAAATCTAAACTTTCCATGTGAGCAATAGTACTCTATGTAGAAATTTTCCTTCCCGGCTTTCGGAAGCGGAGGATTAGTCCGTTTTGAACCTCTCAAACTTGTAATAACACAAAAGCTAATGCTATTTCTTCGATAGGCGACGGGGGAGCTGAGATGTTGTACTATCTGAATGGCCTTCTCTGAAGCCAATGAGAGGTTATTTGATTCAACATGGGAATGTAAAATTAGTGATTTTTAACATCATAAATGAATGAGAGCAAATAAATAAATAACAAGAGGAAGAAGAAGAATTGAGTGAATGGTTTCACATATCAAAGTTCAACCATTATAAAGGCAAATTTAGAGCCTCTTGTGATGTCCTGTTGCAGCCCCTACTTTTCCGAGTGAAACTGTCCTTTCTATTCTTTTTACTAGGATTTGTTGCGCGCCTATGCGGAATCGTGCTTGCACACCAAACAAATTTGTAAGCACGAGAGAAGAGAACCAATCAGCACACGAGCACAATCCAAACCAAAATACGACAAATCAATCGCAAATAAAAAGATATACGTGGTTCGGCAATCTGCATACGTCTACGGAGAGAGAATGGGGAGATTCCACTAAATCAAGGAGAGTACAAAATGGTTACAACTCACAAAACTTACAAATAAACCCTAAACCAAAACTCTCTCCTTGCTCACAATATCTCCCTCTCACAATGTTCAGTACAATCTCAAATCTATGTTAAAACTCTCCTCTCTTAACCCTAGAAACGAGTGTTTCTAATATATATCAAAACCCAATCAGAAACTGGGCTGGAAACAAAACAACCTAATATCCGCTACGCGGTCGACCGCCGAACCCCAAATCGCGGTCGACAGCCAAAAGTCCAGAGACTTTTGTGTCTCCTGGGTTTGGACGCGGTCGCCCGCCGAACCCATCGCGGTCGACCGTCAAAAGTCCAGAGGTATACTCCTATTTCGTGCACGTTTGCAGTCGAACGTCGTGCCATGCGCGGTCGATCGTGAAACCTGCAGATTGTTCTCCTGCAGTTTCTCCTGAGCTTCGTCGTCGTTTTTATAGGATTATGGTACAATTGCCTCCATTGCTCATATATTTCTATCAATAAATCTTTAGATCATGTATATCCTAACCCTTAACTAATTAGCTAGAACCACACTTAACTGCCAACAAAAATAAATAAATTAAAAAAAAGGAAAAAAGAGACCTTGCAGTTTTAATCTTTTTCTTCCTACCATAACTCTACATGTTACTGTTAGCCTCCTCTGGAAAGTACAGCTGGAGACCGTGCATCGGTATCTTCTTCTTCACCTGAGTCACTATCCGACGATGAGCTCCCCGAGTCCGAACCTGCATCCACACATTATTATTCTTCTTAACTAAGTCTATATCCAAAGATGAAAGTGGCATTATCACTGCAGTTAGTACCGCGAGAAGATGAAGAATAGCTGCTGCTAGAGCTGTTAGCTTTGTACATCTCTACAGATCGATGGGTAACGTGTAGCCGGCATCCCATATCCAATGTCCACTAGTAAAAATTCACGTATCCTAGACGGAATATTCCAGACGGAATTTTTTCCGTCTAGAATGTATTAAACTAGACGGAAAAATTCCGTCTAGAATGTAATATTCTAGACGGAATTTCCGTCTAGAATAGTATTCTAGACGGATTTTATTAAATATTTTTTAATTACCCGTTATCCTAGACGGAAATTTCCGTCTAGGATAGCTTTCCAGACGGAAAATATTAAAAAAACTTTTTTTTTTCGTTTTCGCGGCTACAATTTTGGTAATCCCCCGGCTCCAAAAATTTCCCCCTTGTTATATATCAAAAAACTCACTTAAAATTCATCCCCTCTTCCAAATTAAAAATCTCTCCCCAACCCTAAAAAATGGACCCCCACACCCGACGTCCCGGCCGTCGCCTCCTCCTCCTCCTCCGGCTGACAGAAGATCACCTACCCCAAGCGCCACCGTCGGGCCCCTCCTCCCTCCGCCGCAGCCCCCCGCCGTCTCCAGCGTCTTCGCCTCCGTCGAGCTCAGGGCCCCAGGAGCGCCGACGCTCAATGAAGACCGCGGCGGCGGAGACGACGGAACTCTGAGTGCCGGCTATCGCCGGCCCCACTAGCTGATCCTGATGGAGGGATGCTGACTCAGCATGCAGTGGAAGCCCTTTGCCGATGCCCCCGATCCCAAAGCCCTTCTCGATGTCAGTTTCTCTCTCTCTCTCTCTCTCTCTCTCTCTCTCTTAATCTAATGTGATAAAGTTGAGTTTTTGACAAATTTAGTGCTGCGTGTAGCAAATTTTGTTGTTTGATGAGTGATTCATGATGAACTGATGAATGGTGGGGAAATCTTTTAGGTCAATTAAAAATGACCATTTATACAATTTGATTATAGTGTTTAATTGGTTTAAGATGTGAATGGTGGATGCAGGTGCTGCTGTTATTTACTTCATATATGTAGCTTATAATAATATCAGACTTCGACATTTGCAAAAAGTAAAAGGTAATATGGTTGCAGGAAATATATAATCAATATTTGAGCTGTATTAGACCATGAAGTATGAATAAATAAACTCAATTAGTACAAACCGGAATATTATAACCTGAGGTGTGTTATTGACTTCTTCTTTTCAATTGGGACTTGAATGGAATGAATTTTTTATTAGAACATCTTCATTGATCGCAGGTTTTTGGTCTTTCAAATTGTATCCTGGAAATGAAAAGTATGCAGAAAAAAGGTATTAATTGTTGTATTCGTTACTCGACATCTTGTTGTTGAACTGAACAAGGCATTGTTCAGTTTTTTCTAGGATTTTTTTTGCACCTTCTCATTGTTATTGAAATTTTATTTATAATATTATGCTTTTGCATGTAAATTGTTTATTAGTCATCCTTGTGTTTGGGTATATTTTCTTTAGAACTTATAGTTTCCCTATTGATTAAATTGTTCTCTCAGACGCAAGGACGTGAATCTATTGCAGCAAAACTTGTTGCAAATTTGATCACAGAAGCAGGTGCAAACCGTGTACTTGCATGTGATCTTCGTTCCGGGCAGTCCATGGGATATTTTGATATTCCAGTGAATCATGTCGATGGTCAGGTAACTCTCACATAATCTATTGGATAAGTTGTTTTGAGAATTACAGAATGGCGTAAATCCCTTTCTAACTAATCAAAATTGTTTGCTTTTGTACTTCTAGCCTGTGATTCTTGATATTCCAGTGACTCAGATTGTAAGAAAGGAAGAGCTAAATGTGTAATGTAGGTGGAAAATATATATATGGTAGTTGTTGATGTCGCTGACCTTGAAAGCTAGCCTATTCTAGTTTTGTTGAGGTTTTTGCTTTGATAAGTGTTACTATTAGAAGTTATGTTTCGCCCTTTTTATTTTTTATTTTTTATTTTTTTTTTTTTTGGGTGGGGGGGGGGCTAATCTTATTATTTGGTAGCATGTTAATCATGAGTTCATATCATGTCTGGTGCGCACAACTTATATCTGTCACAATAATGATTGGTTTTAATTGTGTCTAATTTCTCGCTTTTTTGTTATACGCATGAGCTTACCTCTATGTTGTATCCATCTAAGTACGTTTCATTGGAAAGCCATTGTAAAAAAGAGTTTAGTGAATTTAGAATGCTTTTTAACACTATTTATATGCTTTCTTTAAATACTTTTTGTGTTGCAGCGAGGAAGAAGCAAGAATGAAAATCTATTCAGTATCAACAAAGCATTATTTTGCTTTTGGTGCCCTAGTTTCTGAGGAGCTCTCTTATAAGCTTAAAGGCATGATTTCAGTTTCAATGTTTTAGAGTCCATTTTTCTTGATTGATTTATTTGAAATTGAAAATATATCACATTTTCTTCTTTCATTTGTGCAGTTTTGCCAAAGGTTCGCTGGGTTCTTCCTGATTCATACTTGGATGTGAAGAACAAAGATTATGGAGGTAAGAACTGTAGGTTCCTAGAATATATCTTAAGTTGTTAGTGATTTTGTTGCAAAATGGTTGCTTATTACAGTAAGGCTTCACTATTGTCGTTCTTGTAGCATCATGCTAATGCTATATTGTTCTTCAGCCTTCGGTCACTTACTTTGCTCTCTTAGGGCCTGTGTCAACTCATCCACTAACCAAGTCAATAGCACTAACCTGGTTAAGGGTTAAAAATGTGCTTGGCAACAATTGGTTCAAGATTGAACTGGAAAAAGAGGCCCTTAACTAGGTTATATTTGGACCATCTCCACCTTGGTTCAATCCTAATCCAATGCCTTGTACGAGTAGTGTGAAGTTGCCACACCCTTACTATTTGCATTTGATTGAGTATGAATGTGGCTTTCTTTAGCCTTGTGATGGCCTCCTAAAATCCTAAACCTCTTTATGTAAGTTCTTCATTTTTTATGAATATAAAATTAGACTCAAGTTTCTCAATTTTCAAACATTGATAGTATTTTTTGCTCAAATACATTCTTAAGTTTGTTTTTTCTAGAGTATAACAGTGAATTTAAAAAATTAACTATTATTGAGATTGAAGATTTGGGTGTTTTGGCATGATTGTGTGTATATATGTCTTTTCTTTCTTTGTTTGGAATTTGATAGTGGGTATAAGCATGTGATACAAGAACCACTTGAGGATCTCGTGGAAAAATATCGTTAGCTTCTTTTTATTGGAACATCTTTTTATGGGGTACAATTGAAGGTGACTGATGGTGGTGGATAATAATAGATGTAAATGACTACACTTAGTCTTGGTTTCTGTTTTTGATGGTATGAATTCTGTCATGGCCCTTTTATTGATGAGGATAATTTATGATTTGCATCTTTTCTTTTGAAAT